CACACACACACACACACACACACACACACACACACACACACCACAAAGCCTCCCTCTAGATGAATATTTATTGGGAAAAAAAGCAAAAGTTTCTAGACAGACTGACTTAGCTTAGCTTCATTTCTAGATTTTAGACCACCAGTGTATAAAATTAAAAGCACATGGATTTTGAATCACTAGAAAAGGTTTGTAATTGATTAGTGCTGTATGAAAGTATTGAAGTAGAGTTAAGTTTTGATTTGTGAATGCTTATATTCAATAAAGATTAATCCTGTATGCCTGATAAAAAATCTTAGCTTCATATAAATTAACTCTTCTTCATTTACTTGTTAGTTTAACTATCAAATACTTTAGTGTTCTTTTAACTGGAACATTTATCTTTTTATAGCAATAAGGAGAATATCACTACTTAGAATATCAATACCTATTCATTTTGTTTTCTGTGTCATATTACCAAAGTATCTAAAATGAAAGTAATGAAATTTTTAAAAATCATTGCAGAAAGGGATTGACTTGTAATGCAAATGGAAATGTTTACATGCTCCTCTCTCTTCATACATTCAGAATGCTTAAAATTATTAATATTCTTTGAATGGCCTGATTTTTGCAGGTGCCCACTTACTTTGGTAGGAATACTCTGGAGTAAAGATCAGGTTGTAGTCAGTGGCAGCTCATGTTTTCTAATATTGAGGAACATTAATCATATTGAGGGCATCACTATATGACACTTTATTTATATAAATTTTGGACTTTCATTTGGCTAAGCAGCATGTAATACAATGTAGCAAAATGTGCATGCTACTGAAAATGCAACTTACCCTTTCATTTTGTACTTTGGACAGTGTTTAGTAAAAGCTGTAAAGGGTGAACAACATGACTTGTTGAAGCATCTTGGTTCCCTGATCCCATGTAGAAAGATCAGACGTAAACTGTGATCATAATCCAGCAGAAAATTTGCCTCACAAACCCCATTGAAAAGAATGGGAGCTGTACAAGAACTCTTGTGTTCCATTCATTGACAAGACTCAGAGGGGGGTTTACTCCAGACTAACTGTATATGCCACTGCACATTTAGATTATATTTACTGTTACTCTTACAATAAATTCAACTTCATTTTAATAGTTACTTTACATTTGATTAATATAGGGAATATTATGAGCATAGAATATAGTTGCTGGAATATTCAGACTTTCCCCCCGAAATATGAGAATATGCTTTTTAAAGTTACATAAAAGTCTATCAGATGTAAATTGAGAAATTGGATATTTTCTTTCTCAGCCCCAACATCAGCTTTTGTTCATGTCATAACTGAGAGGTGAAAATGTGGCTAAATAAAGATAACATGACCGATTGTTAAGAGTCCCATCTGGATAGTTTCCTGAACAGAATGCAAAGCAACTAATGAAGGAAGGACCAGGTGAAAATTTCCAGAGACATGAATCAGAACACTTTGTTAACACGTGTCAGCTGTAAGAGACTAAAATATAGACAGCTTAGCTTGCTTGTATTTGTCTGTTGGAAGACAGCAATTGAACAGAAACAAATAGCCTTAACCTGTTCAAACACTGCTACCACAAAATTGTCAGCAGGGGTTAATATCTTTTCCCTTAAAAAATGCATTATAGCTTGTGCCTAAGGAAGGCATTCGCTTGAACAGCCTCATTTAAGTGTTGCATATTTGGAAGGATGCTTTGCCCATGTCCCAGGAACATTCAGGTTTTAAAGAATGGCCCAAGGTAGATGAATTAAGCAGTCAATACTACATGTTATGATAACTTTAGCCAACTATATTTCTAGTAATCTGTTTTTGGATTAAAGGAAAAGAAAGTCATTTACATGTAAACTGTATTTCCTGTTGTAAACACTGGGATAATGTGGTCTGGCCACATTTATGCTGTGTTTCCTTAAAGCAGAAGTTTCAGTAGAATTTTGTTTTTACTTCCCACTTTAAAAAAGCCTTGTTTTTTGTGCCACATTTTAGCATGCTGGCAGCCTAATTACACTGTAACTTAGTGTGACAAACTTGCAGAAAGTAGGTTTTGAAGCATAGGACTATGCAATACATGAGATGTATTTGTAGATCAGAAATTAAATATATCCCTGTGTTCCATGAGCGCAAGCCTTCATGTCTAATTGTGCTCGTAGATTGCAGAGGATTCATATGCTCCCAACAGTTGAAACGTGTGAAGTAGGAGGGGTATACTGAATGCCAACCATCAGCTAGATACAATACAAGCTCAATGTAGGCGCGTGCAGTGAAAGCATTTGAAGCATCAATCAGGGAATTTTTCCCCCCTTGAAGGAAAATTCATTATCTTACAGCCCCAACATAATTTTGAGCCAAGATGGACAACATTAAGAAAATATTGTAAGTGTTCTGAATTTTTTCTTCATTGTATGTTGTTGATGTTTAGATACTTTTAAACAGGTACTTTTGTACTGTTACAGTGGAAGGAAAAAACAATCTCTGACCACTGACCAAAAGGCCTTTCAGGTTAGGCAGCTTTTTAGTACATCTTGAAAAACGACATCTCAAATACTTTGCAAACTCTGTAGAGGTCAGTGATGCTGTTCAGTTATATTATATATTCTTAAAATTGACGCTCTTTTATTTCATGTGGTATTAATATATGTACTGACATAATTTCAAAAACAGATCATCGATGGGAAAGATCAAAGGGCTGTTAGAGGTGCTGCTTTATAGCTTGGGAGTTTTCTTCATCATGTACAGGCATTCAAATAGGTAGAGTATATCTGCTGGGTTAACTTATTATCCCATGATGATATTTCAGGAAGTTTACTTTATCAGGTATGTCGTGCAGAGCTTCTTTTAACGTGTTACTACAGTAGTAGAACCACGCATCTTTGTTCTGTTTTGCCACTTCCTAGTTTTGATGCCAAAGGTTTCCTTAGCTTGTATGTGTATTTGTTTCTGTTCTCTGTTACTTTTGGTACATCTGTAAAAGCAGTTTCTTTTCGTGTAGAGAATAAAAACAAATGCATAATTCGTAAATGCTGTATATGCATTTGGCAAAGACTATGATCCTAAGCATACTTTCTTAAAAGTAAGCTTCAGATGAAACCATCGGATTTACTAACAGTGGAACTTACTTCCAAGTAAACATACATAGGCTTTCACAGGTAAAGTGTGTCGGGATCATGATGCTATTTTCATGTGTTACTTAAAATTACATAGGGAATATGTTTTTGCCTTAATAATTTTTACCAGATCTATGTAAATCAGTCCTGTTTGCATGTAGCAGTGACATGGACTGCTTAGTGATGATAGAACTCTACAATGTTTGGCATCTCACTTCCCTATCCTTCCTACTATGTGCTTAATATGGATGTCAGCATTTTGAATGCTGCTCTTACAGCCATGCTTTTTTAATATATGCACAATCAGAAAGAGAATTGCTACAAGATGAGCACACCTGCTACTGAAACAATTGTAGGTATGGAAAAGTGTGTCAATTTCTACTTTAATTTTTAGTTTAAAACCATTAACAACATTACGGTCACTTGTATTTCCACTATGCTCAGACACATTGGCTTTTAAGAAAAAAGCAGTACATAAACAGCAAATGTTTGTGATGATCAGCAATATTTCATATTACTTGGAAATGCAAGCACTTACCCCAGAAGAAGTTTTGTTGACAAGGTGTTACTGAGCTGAAGAGACTGTTCGATGCCATAACTCTCCCCTTCTGTCACCGTGTGTGTCTTCTGGTGCAAAGACTGCCTTATACTGAAATTACAGACCATAGCCAAGCTTTGTTTTAGTTTTACAGCATGCCTGGCATGCATAGATTTTATGTTTTTCACTTCTGTCAAAAAATTCTGAAGAACTGGTAACATGCAAAAAGCAAGGCAACAAAACAAAAAAGAAAACAAGCAAGTATTTGACAGATCTACCATTACTGAATAGACTGTGGTTTGAGAGCACTTACTGACTTTGTTGGTGTCGGTGGCTGCTGGTGACCTGTTGAGATTAACCATTTACAAACCAAAGGCTTCTTGCTGTGTTCTTTTGGAGAAAGTTTGCACCGCACTTGTGGTTCTGTGGTTGTTTGTGAGGCGAATGAAGCATTCACACAATCCAAAAAAGCAAAAGCTTTTAAAACTCCCTTTTTTTGCAAGCACTGTTACTGGAGAGACAGAATCATGTGGTTTGTGACATCATAGTAGTCAAGTAAAGTGGGACTGCCCAACACTGTGGCTTTTCCTTTCCTCCCCCTTTTTAAGTTTGACAAAAGGCCCGTGGTAAGGCCCTTCCTGGCATCCAGAAGGGTACAGCTTTTTAAATTTTGTGACTCATGAGGATTTGGAGAGCATACAGAATGCTGAAAAAGTCTAAACTCCTGTGCCTTAAAGCATATGGACAGCAGAACTTCATTTATACTCCCTGAGTTTCCCTGCCTCTCCCTCTCCCTCTCCCTCTTTCTTCCCCCACCTTCCCTGTTTCCTTATTGTGTCTGTTGAGAAGTATACCAGAATTGGCACAAATGTCTGTGTGAAATTCTGAACAATAGTGATGATTTACAATAATTTACATCTTTGGATTATATCACAATCTTGGGGTCTGCTTCACATTTGCCTGGTAGCTGAATTCCTTCTGTTTTTCTTTTTCTTCTTGTCTTCCTCTGCTTTTGAATCTGTAACTCATTGTAAGAAACTTTACCTTTCTTCAAGTTCTACCAGCAGAGTGCTTACTGGGGCTGTGTTTTTGGGGCTGTAATTGGCTGTCACCGAAGTGTTAGTCTGGGGATTCCTTTGCAAACCTTAAATCATGTCTGTCTATGTTATGTGCTCCCAAGGCTAGTTGGCAGCTTTATGTAATGAACATTGAGTGCAATTATATGTCAGCTTTTTCTGTTTCATAGAGAACCTGCCATCTGCATATTGTGACTTGCACATTTTACAATGGAGATAGGAAAGATGCGGAGTATGGGATATTTGATATTGGTTGTGATAGCTAATGTTAAATGGTTATATACTTGATGCAATATGCAAAACTGGCATGCTTAATTCTTGTTCAAAAATGGATTTCTGTAAACAGATTTCAGCAATCAATGGGAATGCTTGCTTTGAAAGTGAACACAAATCAGATTCATATGCACTGCATGGGTAATTTGGCATGTACATTTATATGGCCTCTTTAAATATGTCAGAATGTGAAGATCTATCAAAGCGTTAACCATGTTAGCGCTCACAGTTAAAATGAAGGTAGGATTCTGTCTATAATTTAGGTTCCAAAATAAATTGCAACGTGCAGTGCAGGCTAAAGAATAATGTGCAGAGAGATCACATGCTGGCATTTTTGATTTGCTTATTTGTGTTTAGGACAAAATTGGAACCATCTTTGAGAAACAGTCTGATCCCTATCCCTGTTCATAGATCTGTATGCGCTACTTTGTTAACTCAATCAAAGAGCACTGGCACTTAGTTTACCTAGCTTTAATGGCATTATTGCTGGACTGAGCCAGCTGTACTAAGATACTGAGCTACTGTTTCCTAAGCATTTTCGTAACATTTGTGCATATCGTTGCTGAGATGTTATTGGGTGGTGTTCTTCCGGTTCTACCTGGTTCCAAATAGGGCAGGGAATAAAAATTGCAGGAAGGTGATGATGGCTTCTGTTGTGTTTTGTAAAGCACCTGGGGTGGAGGAAAGGTTGGACGGGGGAGGGGACTACATCAGGACAGCTTGGAGGGAAAATACCATATCCATTTAATTTTCAACGAACTACTTTGACCACCATCTTTTACATCTATTTATGAACACCCCCCCCCAAACAAAACCCTTGCCTCTGAGCTTAGTACAATCTACATTGTCTTAATGCTGCTTACCTCAGATATCCTCAGCCTCACTCTTAAGACCATCATCTGATGTTTGAATAAGCTAAAAGCAAACGATTTGCATGGTGGCATAGATGTTAGGGAATTAATCAGAAGAAAGCAAAAATGGAAATTAATTCCAGTGAATTCAGTCACCCATATAACACACAGCATTTCTGTGGGATGCTGTTCAAGTTCACTGTAATAGCAGTATTACATTTTTACTTCTTTATACTCTTTAATTTCATCCTATGCATGATGATGATATGGATTAAGTCCTTTGAAGTGTGCATAGGATTTCGATCCTTCAGTACAGTCTGACATGTGCCTACTCAGAAGCAAGGCCCCTTTGAAGTCAGTGGGACATAATTCCAAGGTAAGTGTGCATAGGATTGTGGACTTAGCAAACAGGTTTTATTTGTAAGTATCAACATATTTGTGAGTGTAGTTTTAACATAACTGGAAACTTTGATAAATTCATGTGTTTTGGGGCAGCACTTGAAAACATGGGATAGGATGCTGAAATTTGTAACTTGTAGCTATTTTTAAAATCAAGTGTTCTTAATTTATAAAAGGAAGCTCCAGATAAACTACATTTTGATTTATTACTGAAATCTTCAGCTCTCACAGTAAGCTGATTGTAATTTTTAAATGGCTTCCCTATTAGTGCCACTGTTTACATAGCTTTAGTATATTTCTTATTCCTTGCCTACTATTATGATTTTGAAAATCAGCTTCCCTGTTTTTGTCAGTATTGATACTGCTCTATCAAGTTGTATTTCTCCAGATTTCCAGAGAGGAAATCACTGGAAATCTCCAGAGAGGCGTACCTGAACCTAAGGAAAATTAATCTTTGCGCCACTAGGTAGCTGAAATACACATTTAACTACACCTTTGTGCAGTTCGATTTTTCATTGGTATGTTGTACTGGATTTCTTTCCAGTAATTATGATGGAGAATGTAAGATGTAAAATATGAGGAAAATCTCTTATGGTCATTTACATATAAGCAGTATTACCTTATTTGTTTCATCAAAAATGGCTTGTACTTCTTGGAAAGAAATCATACAGTCCTTTCACTTTGTTATTTATTGTTTTTAAAGAATAATACTTAACAATTATAAGTTATACTGATTTCTGGGCATTCAGGTAATTTGCTTTTTGAGAACTGATAGCACTGCTATCTAGAAATGTCTATTACAGCTCAGTATCAGCTACAGCAATGAAGAAATTACTGGTCGTATATTTTTCTTCAATTTAAAAATAAATATTCAGGTCTCTGAACTGAACTGGCAAAAGATGTCCCTGGTCATGAATGCAGAAAGAATTTGGAAAGAATGGTTCTGCAAAGATAGCTTTCTAAGCAGGAGAGCTTCCATCATCTGGTATTAAAAACAAAGGCACGGTAGTAATCAGTGCACTTTAATTTTTTTTAAACTGTAAAATTATAAAACTTGTGAATTCCCTACTCTGTTTAGCCAGCTGAGTCACAAAATGTTCAAAATCTCTTTGGAAACTTTTTGTATGGCATTGAGAAATTGCATGTGTTCACTTTAAAGATAGTTTACATTGTATGTAATATGTTTCAGAACTGAGTATATGTATAGTACTAAAGAACTTCACCTTTGTAACTGGTTTAAACATAGGCTATTTGAAGACTGTCTCAACATATAGATGATTTCATGACAATAATATGCATGTGACATGGCTACAGATGGCCTTTTCACCAACTTGCAGACATTGCTGTTTTAGCTGACGCCATCAAAATCAAATATTGCATTATTTTAAAGGCATCAGATGTTGCAGGAACTTTGTTCTGTAAACCACCTGCAAGTCTCTTTCCTTTGTACTCTAGCATTCTTGAAACTTTTTATCTTGTAATTGTCTCTCCTTAATTTATTTAGCGTACTACTCCAACTTATAGATTATAATTATAGTATTTCAACATCTTGCATCAACATGTTTCTACTAGGACTTAAACTCCCAATTTTGAAAAAGATTTAATATCACTGATGGTGTTAGCTTTTTATAGAAACTCTTCATTCTGTCAAAATAGCAAGCAGCTAATTGGAATAGTTTGTTATGTGTCAAATCAGGGGTGGCATATAAGACCCACCAACCTACCATCACATAATGGACACATTTGAAGGTGCTATGTATATGAAATAACTATTAGAACATTTTCTGGAAGCGCTCTTGGTTTGTATTTTCATTTTAATCCCTGTAGCTGCTTATATACTAAAGAGCCTAACATCAGTAAAAAGTTAGTTTTAGAATGCCACTTAAAGAGGCTAGAACTTCACAGGGTTTCACTCTAGTGCTAGTAAATATATTGATAGCTTTTGTTTGGTTTTATTTACATTGGTTTGTTTTATTTACTTAGTTTTCATTTCACTTGTATCCTGCTCTCTATCAAAAAACTCAGGGTGGCTTACACTGATTTTTCTTTTTTTAACCCTTGCAACAACTCTGTGAGGTAGGTCTGGCTGAGGTCGCTGACTGGCACAGAATTACCCTGTGAGCTTCATAGCTGAATGGAGATTTTACCTGTGTTTCTCTGGTCCATGCACACTGCTCTTCAAACAATGCCACAATGGATTTTTTACTGCATCACGTTAGGTGTTTAGGATTAAAGATCAGTTCATGCCTAAAATTGGTTTCCTTATAGAAGATTAAGGGCTTATCCAGGCAATAATTCCTTTAATTTCCCAGAATGCTTTCTTTGCCCATATCCTGCTGTATCTTCATTGTGTAGGTACAGCAGGGCTTTTCAAATGGAAAAAAGGTGAGCCCAATCAGTTCTTGTCATCCAGCGCATCACTCACTGGTGGGGTGTCCTCCCCCCACCCCCGGGAGTTCAGTATACACATATAAATTAAAATTTCTACAAATTTTGAAGCAGTAGGGGGGAAAAATGGGAAAATAATAACTTACTTAATGTTCTGTTCCACGGGTGGCCACATGTGGCTCTCTGAGTTTATTTTGTGGCTTGCTGCTCACCACTTGCCATCACTGCCAGTGGGAGCCCACTCGCCACCCACCTGCACACCCACTTGCAGCTCTCAGGCATGTGCCATTTGCCACACATGGCTCTTCTTTGGAGCAAGTCTGGCCACCCCTGTTCTGTTCAGGTGTGAAGCTTTTTAGCTGCTTTAGGACAGCCACCCTCATGCTGGTACCCTCCAAATATTTTGGTCTTCGCCTCCCATACTCCTTGGCAGCTCATAAAATTATATTATTATTATGTTAGGGAATGGTCTGGCTTAATCTGACCTAGGACCAACTTGTTGGTCTTTCTGTCATTCACAGAGAGGGTTTATTCTAGTGGCAACAGCCAAACACTTTTATAGTTAAGGCAGCACTACCCATTGGTTTACTTTTAAAAGTAAACTGAGTAAATTATAATTATTGTCCAAATACGCTTTTAAATTTAATAACACCAAACTTGATAAATTTATGAGCAGACCAAGATATACATGGTATATTTATGTTCCCATTTAATGTATGACTGGAGACATATAGAAGTTATGTTTAGCACATCTGAATCTTCCTAGAAGTCATAAGAAGAGGAAGAATCGGAGGCAGTGGGAGCATCGGATACAACATCTGTTCCTATTTGTAAGAAAGTTTAGGGAAATTCCCAAACCTGTCACTGTTTGTAGGGTTAAGGAAACTTAACTGAAGGAAAAACAGTCAAGATTTTATTCAGCTGGGAAGGTCTCATCTTAGGGATAGTAACCAACCACTTTTAATTTAATTTAAGCAATATATATATATATATATATATATATATATATATTGCTTAACCTATATATATATATATATATATATATGTTTCTAAATTATTTATGTTAATGAGCATCTTTCCTTCTCCTTCTCCTTCTCCTTCTCTTGATTGCATGCCTGTAATTCCATGCATGAGAAGATGGCTACTGAACTTCTTTTAGTTGGTGTTACTTGCCATCAAGTCATCTCCAACTTATGGCAACCCTGTGAATGAATGCCTTCCAAAAGCTCATATAAACTCAAGGCTGTGGCTTCCTTTATGGGGTTAATTCATCTCATGGTTTATCTTTCTCTTCTTCTGCCTTTGACTTCCCCTAGCGTGATGGCCTGAATGACTTGCTTTCTTATGATGCGCCTGAATACAACTGCCTAAGTTTTGCCATTTTTGTTCCCAGGTAATATTCTGGCTTAATTTCATCTAGGACCAACTTGTTTGCCTGTCAGTGATAGAGAGGGTTTATTCTAGTGGCAGCAGTCAAAAGGTTTTATAGTTGAGGCAACACTACCTAGTGGTGAGGACTAATTGTGAACTTTGTTAAAAACTGAGGCAGTGGGTTGTTTAGATTCAAGCCTCAAGGTTTATTGAGAGAGAGAGAGAGAGAGAGAGAGAGAGAGAGAGAGAGAGAGAGAGGTAATTTGGGTAATACGCTTGCTGTTCTGTAGTATGTGGTGGCAGCAACAGGATTACCTACAGTGCTTTTTCATACGAGGGATTTATTATTTGCAGTATTTGTATATTGCTGTATTAGATTAGAACACCTCCACTATAGCATCTATCCAGAACAAACTCAGAAATATAGGATTTTGTATGTTACTATTCCTACCCCAAAAGATCAGTATGAGACATTTGTGACTTTGAATGCAAAACATGTTATAAATGTAGTGATAAAATCCATTTTCCTTTTTTTATTATCTGTAAATGCATTCTTCTATGCAATGTCTTTCAGAATTTGTAGAATCCATCAACATATAGTTTTATTTAAGTGTGGTTCTACTGCAAGTAGTTAGTCAAACCATTATCTTTTTTGTTTTATCCTCCAGGCTTGTTTTGCTTTCAGGAAGAAAAAAGTCAACTTTGCACAAAATATGGGAAACTTGTCTCATATAACAGCTGAGGATGTGGCTAGGTTAAAGCAGGAAACTGCTACCCACAATGCAATGTTACTTACACTACCACTTAATAAAATTTATTTCAAACATGCTACTGACAAAACCAAAGAAAAATAATATCCAAACTATGCTAGTTAGTACTCTAAAAATATCTTGGGAAAAGTGAAAGTAATCTCTCTAGAGCCTTTTTTTGCTCAGTGGCTAGACTACTGCCAATAATTAAAGTACAGGAGTTTTCTTAGTAGCTGGTGGACTGAACTATTTTTAGGTAATATTCACACCCCTAGAAAGATGTTGCACTCTTTTAACAGCAGATCGACAGCGATGTTATGCACAAAGTTCAAAGCCCTAATCGCTCTGTGGTGGTATGAGGCCGGAGTATTTTGCTGTAGTAAGACATTTCTTTTACATCTTCTGACCATAACATCCACTTTGTATTTTGACATGGATTAGTTTGTGTTTACAGGAAAAGAAAAAACAACCCTGTTTCTAATCCATAAATAATCTTACATGTATTTGTTATTATGCTTTTAGTGAGATGAAAGAAGAGTTTTTCAAATTTTGAGTTTTTTAAGTGATGCCTCCCAAATTTGTTCTTTCGTAATATCAATGAATATATTTGTGGATATGAAAATAGAAGGTAGTTGTACAATGGCATAGATGTTCTGTACATGTCTGCATGCCAAAGAGCATACATAGTAAGGCTGATTCTCTCATTGAAGAAATCAAAGTGTTTTTTCTATAG